CATTGTGTTGTTTAAGTGTTCCCTTTATTTTGTTTGAGCAGTGTATATAAAAGTGAATGGTCTGGGGGGGTGTCTCCCACCTGGACAAACGCTGCCGCCTGGGGGGACCCGGCTGACCCAGGGCATTCTGGGAAATGGAGAGGAGAGTGGGGGAGGGGGGCCACTCCTGGGCCACAGGAGGGTCCTGCAGGAAGGTGGGATGGATGACCCTTGGGGTCCCCTTAGAGGCTGACGCGTGGACTTTCCCGGCTTTCCTCTCCCTCTCGGCCCGGCTGGGTTCCCCACCTACCCCCCCCGCTCACCTCCTGGAAGAGCCGCTCGTTCTCGGCGCGGAGCCCCTTCTCCCCGGCGCTGCCGTTCTGCGGGGGTGGCGGCGTCGGAGGGGCGTCGGGCCCGCGGGAGCGCTGGCGGAGGGGGTCGGCGGCGGCGGCGGCCGGGGGCGGCGAGGTCGGGCCGGCGTCGTCGTCGTCGTCCAGGACGATGATGCAGTCGTCGTCGTTGGAGGCGTCGGGCGGGGAACTCATGGCCGGCGGGGCGAGCGGGCGTCGGGCATCGCCGGCGGGGAGGGGCGGGGCGACCCACGCGGGAACCGGGCTCGCGGCGGGAGGCGCCGCGCAGCCCCCGGCCGGCCTCGTCTGGGGGGGCGACCGCGGCGGCGGCGGCGCCGGTGTGCACACCCGAGGCGGCCGCTCCTTCCCCGGTGGCGGCTTTCAAATTTCAATTCCGCTCGCCTCGCCTCGCCCGGGCGGCCTCCTCCCTCCGCGCCCACTGCGCAGGACCGGAAGCGGAGGTCCCGCGCCGCCATGTTCTTGTACGGACTGGGGCGAAGGAGGCGGCCCTGTTGCCCCCGCGTCTCCTCAGGCGGCAGCGCGGGCGTCTCCCCGCTGCCGAGGACCGGCCGCGCCGGTCGATAGGTGGACCGATCCTCCCCTCGGTCCCCGCTGAGATTGGAGCGTCGCCATCTTCCCGTACGGGGGAAAGCGCCGCTGGCGTCTCCTGGCACGTGACCGGATATAGCTAGGTGAAGCTCGGAGGCCACGCCCCCTGGCGGGGAGCTTTTTTTTTTTTTTTGCGGCTGCGCACTCGGTTCCCTTCAAGCGCCCGCGGGGTCCCGATTCAGGACGTGGGAAACGGCTCCGCCTGCCCAGGGCTTCCAGGCGCTGCGCATGCGCTCTCTCCCGCCTGTCCGTAGGAACCGGGGAAGTCCAGCGCTGCGCCGTTTTCGGGCGTTCCCGCCATCGCCCCTCCCCCTCTCCGCCATCTGAACCCCCCCGCCCCGCCCCGCTCCGGCTCTCGGGCCTCCTCCCCCCTCCCCCTCCCCGCGAGGAAAGCCCTTCGGGGCGGCCCGGAAAGAAGAGGAAGCGGCTGGTCTGGCTTGGCGATTCGCCCCTTTTTATTCAGAAGAAGTTTCAAAGCTCCACCCAAAGAGACGCACACAGAGACACACAAAAAGCAGTAAAACGATTAAAAAAATACGAAGACAAGCGCCCGGTTACTTTCGGTTGCTGGAGGCCTGGCCGATGACGCACTCGTTCACCTGCAAGGCAAAGGGGGGGGGGGTGACGGCAGCCGCTTTGCCCCCCCCCCGGCCCCCCCCCCCCCCACCGCCCCCTCCCCCACTTACCTTCCTAGCGAAGCGAAGGGAGTTCAGGGACTCCCCAAAGTTCTCCTCCAGGGGGGAGATGTTCACAAACATCAGCCTGGGGGCAGAAGAGGGCGGGGGGGGGGGGG